TTGTGATACTTTACATGAAGTCCCCCACCCCCGGACGTTTCCGCCATCCTTGGTTTGGGGGTGTGACACAGGATATACCTATGTCAATGATGAAAAAACATGACACTTAGATTCTTCAACATTCTCGATCTCAACTACAACTAATCAATCAAAAATCATGTTAAACAATTGATTATGAATTACCATACAATAAGAAAATATACATAAAAAGCATATCTCTTAACTGATAAAGCTTACTTGAATTGGTAGCCAATTGAAGAAATATGAAAGGAGGTGGTAATTACTCATGAATTCAAACAAAATCTTTCTGCCTTCGTTCCTTGAAATTTCTCCCAATTTACTTTTATGGTTTGGATGTGTAAAGATAAGGAAATAATCAGAACGGCGGTTTGATGGTGTAGGAGACTTACCTAGCGAGGAATTGTGCAATGGGCTGAAATCGAGATTCTTGATGCTCTTTTTCAAGAAAATGAATCCTCCATTGAAAGAGGGGATGAGGAACCTAACTTGGAGTGGGTTGGAGAAAGAAGACGAACAAACAATTGAATCTTCGATTCAATGTGAGATCATAGGATGCATCTGTTGGTAAAGACGAATTTTTCAGATGGAGGAAACACAAAGATGATTATGGGATGTTCAAAAAACTTACCGGTAATGATGATAACTTGTTGATATGAAAATCCCAGCAGAGAGGGAAGAATCATGAAAGCAAGAGTAGAAACTATGATTTTGTTCATCAAAATTGAAACTTAAACACAGTGGTATGCGATTGGCAGGGAGGAAGGAAGCTTCAGCAGATCGGGATGGAGGATTTGTGTGTGTGCGTCAATGAGAAGAAAAGAGTGCATGCGTGCTAATGAGAAAGAACAGAGACTGAATTAGGGCACTTCCGTCTTATTGAATTTATTTTTCGTGAGTTTTAATTGTATTTATTAGATTCCTTGATTTTAAACATATGATACCTTTTATAAAATTGGTGGACAAAAAGTAAAAGAGTTTTACCATGGAAGAAATTCAATTTAAACACGCAATTAGCCATTCATGTATATGAGATTAGGTTTAAAAAAGAATGACAAAAAATTTTGTTTTAAAATTAGGATGCTTTATTGGAATTAAATATATTCCATTTCAAAAAGGTAAATGACTGGAAGATATTAAAAATTATTGAATTAAATGCAGTGAATGGTGATGTCAGCAAAATATCTAAAGGTGGAAAAGATATGGATGAAATGCAATGAAGGACCCTGATGGTTTAAGATGATGTCATAAGGTTTATGTTTTAATATATATTAGAGATTAGAGATAACACTTACGTTATAAACAAATCTTACATTTATTTGTTTTTCTCGGTTAAAATGAGAGATTGCGATTGCCATTATTTCATTTATTTTTTTTATTATTTTTGGAAAAAGTGTTATAATACATTAAGACTATAGGATGTGAATGTGGTAGCCCCATGATTCGCCACCTCATCTACGAGCATACAACCCCTAGTTTCTTGTTCCTGCGGAGCTCGACTAAAAAGTGTTGCATCTCTCTAAAAATCTCTCTATATCTTCTCATTATCTCATCTACATCTCTTTTTCCTTTCTTCTCCACCACTCCTTACCCATTGTTTCTAAATTGATATCACACTACAATCCTATGGGGGAGTTGAGATGGAGATGAGATGAAGAGTTTGTTATTGAGCGTGTTCGGCAAAACTTGCTGGTAGTGGGTAGCTTGTAGCAGATAGCGGGTAGCTTGTAGCTTGTAGCGTTTTGTTAAACGCTACGTGAAGTAGCATTTGAATTTGGAGCGTTTTGTTTAAATTAAATACCAGATGCTTGTATTGCCGAACAAGACTTTATGTTCAAAACTGAGCGTTTTGTCAAACGCTAGAAGATAGAAGCTCTCAAATGCTCTCAAACTCTCCATATCGAACACGTCTATTGTAAAACCATGATATGACATGTTTCAGCTTAATACAAAAGAAATTATGAAATTGAAATCTTGGTCATTTCTAAAAACATATATGTGACAACATATTTTTTGTAGGTGAAGATCATTTAATACTTTTTTTTATCTATTTTTTTCATGAATGCTCTACAAAAAAACATCAAGTATATTACAAAATTATCATGAAACTGAGACTACGAGAGTTGAACCTTTTTAAGAGATTAATTTTGAACGACCAAGACTCACAGTTTTTCTAATCTTTAAATTATAAATACTATTGACAACGGTGAGTCTAACCGTCGTCCTTAAAATCTCAGCCCTCAAAACTCCTTCAACTTTCAATCAGAGCTGCATAAACTCAAATATGGCAGTTGTTTGCAGTTCATCGATCGGCGGTTGCTTCTTCTCCCCACGTTCTGCACAATCGTCGGTGTCTCCTCCCACATCTTCAATCGGTTTCTCTACCACGTTCCTATGAACGGTTCCTCATCCCCAAGTTGTATAAATAGATAGGAAAGAGAACCAGAGACCGGTTGCACCTTCATAAATATTCAATCGATTCCTCCTCTAGATGAAATACGAATTTGTGTTTAGGTGTCATCGTCAAATCATCGATGGAAAGGTATGTAAATCCGCCATTTAACGGAGTCTGACGACTGGAAATGGCACTTATGATTTCTTATTCTCTTGATCATCAATTCTCATCTCCAATGCTTCAGTCATCTGAACACATATGGAGCTAACATCGCCTGAAATTACTTCCCCAAAGGTAAAAATCATTCACCTAAGTATCTTTTAAGTTTGCAAATTTCTAGGTTTTTAATATCCGAATTCAATTTCTGTTTGATGGCATACCTAGGTTCTGGTCATCGAATAGCCAAATCAGAGATACTAAATCTGCTTCTTCCTTTTCTTCTGAGTTGAATCCTTTCATTGCTCGTGTGATTACCTATGGACGAGAAATCAACCAAACATATGGATGACGACAAAGAGCACCCACCCTAGGTAATTTACTCAAATCTCTCTCATAACATAATTAGCTCCATCGATTTCATATTATCCTTGTATATATATCTACCCTAGAATGGATGAACTATATCTTGTGATTCATTTACCATTCTACTCCATTGATGACAGGACTTACAATTGCAGCGACTTGCTGTTGCAGCTGCTGTTTATGCTGGTAGATATGGCATCCAAGCAAGGCAGGATTTCAAGAAAAAAGTAAATGGTAAACTTTACTCTGTTCTTATCTTTTGATATTCATTAATTTTCATTTAACAATATAAAATTTCATTTTTAAATATATTCGAATGGTTTAATCTATTGATCATCTGTTCTTATGGTTTAATCTATTGATCATCTATTTGGCTTAAACTATTTGGCTTATGAATATGAGAATATCTTTGCTATTGGTTTGTGCTTGCTAATTCTATTATCATGTTATTAGTTTTGATACAATAATAAATATGTAGAGATCGTTTCTGGTATTGTGACTGGATTTTCCTTTTAGAAAAGGTAATTATGTTTTGCTATCCCGATACAATACAAGAAGCTTATTTATATGTTGATAATTGCTGTTTCTACTTACATACTTTGTTTGCTGTTAAATTAAGAATCAGATTAAAATCATAATGAATTTCTTTTGTGCAGATTGTAGAGATCCCAAAGCTAACATTTGGCTGCTCCGAGTTCATAGAAAAGATTTTGGAGAAGAGAAAGATGAACCAAACACTGCTGGAAAATCATAGTACTTTGCTCGACTTACTTGAAATTCCTCAGCATATGGACACATGTATTTGACCTATCATTAGAGATCACATGCTAAAATAAAAACTATAGACTACTATTTTAAGGCCTGAAATTGTTGTAGGAATAAACCATGTATATAATTGAGAAAATCTGGTGGGCATTTTTGGATTTCAACAATGCACCCGAAGTAAGATTCTTTTATCCTAATTAAAGTCCATGTGATTAGCTCTCAATTTCATAGCAATATCTAAATGGGTTGTGAACTTACCACTCTTATTTTTCTTTATTTTCCTATTATGTTCCATTAAGATCACCAGTCATTCAGGCCCTTGCCACTGAAGTATGACAGACTACCCAGTCTTTGCTCTCACAACTTCTCCAAAAAATAAGATCAAATATTCAGGTAAGTTTGTAATGACACAGTGCCTGATGTTTTAAAGTGAAGAACAATGACAGTAGTCACATTGTTCATGTCCTAGCTGGATCAAATTCTCTTTCTGATGTTCTTTTAAGGTTGTTATTATTATTTCTTTTCAAACACTATTCTATATATATATATATATATATATATATATATATATATATATATATATATATTAGGATGATGAATGTTTTACTGTTTGTACTTCAATCTTTACTGGTAATGGAGAAGGTGTAAGTGGATTTGCAGCAGCGGCAGCTGGTGGTGTATTTGGTTTTGACTTTAGTGTTGACCCAAATCTTGATCCTGAGCTGGCAGTTGCTGATGATCAAGATTTGGCACTTGGTAACTCTTACTATGAATATTAATTTCTTGATATTTTTACAATTTTGGTTTGAATCTTGTGAGTTTTGAAGTTATGTGGTTAATTTGCAGCTCTATAATTGTATGTTCAGCAAGGTGGAAAGATGGATCAGGGCCAGGGGTTGATTTCATCATCATTACATTTATTTTTAAAATTTTTGTGATCAGTCATTTGTCTCATTTACTCTTGCTTCAATTTGTCCTTTTTGATTTCATCATCATTACATTTTTTTTTTAATTTTTGTGAATAGAAAAAGATAATAACAAAAATGGAGAGATAAGTTGATGTTTTGGGGGGATTGGTTTTGAAGCTGCCAGGAGTTGACCCGAATGATTATTTAGTCAAGGATTTGCTTGCTTGAATGCAAAATCAGCCTGAGGTTAGTTCAGTATTATAACAACCCACTTTTATTTCTCTGTATTACAACACATTTTACTTGCAATTATTTCTTATTAAGGCGTTTTGTGTTGAAAAACTGCACACTTTTTACTTTTTTCCATATTAGAACTTTGTTTTTTTTGTAGATTTTTCAAAGTATAAGGATGTAACAGAAAGAAATAAAAGTAGGATGCCATAAAAACAAATAAATGAAAGTATGTTGGTATATATAGGATATAAACAATAATTTGAGTTCTATGGAGAGAGTAAGATGCATAGACCTTCTGTTGTTTTCTGTATCTGGTGTCAACTTCTTGGCTTCAAATAACTCCCTAACAATTGTAATCCCTTGATCCGTGTTCAACTCACAACCATGTCAAAAACTCATACAATAATTTGAGTTCCTTGGAGAAAGTAGGATTATATAATACTAATGTTGTATGTTTATTTGCAGGTCTAAGAAAATATATCAAGATTCAAGAGAACATAAAAAGAAAAATAGTGGTATTGGCCTGTCGAAGGAGAATGATGACCAGCACATTCAGAGGAATTGGTATGCATATTCCACTTACACCCGTAGCTGAAATATTGAAATTCCAGATGGTACGTATAACAAATTTGTGTTGATTTAGTTTTTTGATGTATATCATGAATCTATTGGAGAATTAAAGTTTTGTTCTACTGAATTTGATGGATATGCAAAGCTTTATGTATATGTACTCAATGTTTTCATATACCTTGTGTCAAATTTTTTTTAATGAATATTCAGTAGTGGTATTGATCTCACAAATATTGGACAAATATGACCTTACTGGATTCCCCTGCATCAACATCCTGTAACAAAAAGGTCATCAATGGCCACTCATTAGGTGATGAAGTTCAAAAGAAATTGGAAATTCATGCATGTAAGCTTCTTTTTAAAAATATTTTCCCCTCTTTGGATTTCAATTCAAAAGATGGAAATTTGACGGGTGGTGTTTAATACAAGGTCTCATGAGGCATATCCAAGTTAAAGTTTTAATATGTGTAACCTCAAAACCTGCATTTTGTTAGATATATTTGCAGAATCTGTACTAAATGAAATTTATGCAGGTTAATGGGGGGAACAAAACACCCCTACTGTGTTAAGCCAAGAAGACAAACACAACCTTGGGATGGTTTTGGATTTTTTTTAAGGCTAAGGGTATTTTTCGCTAACCATGGCTACAGGTTAAATATGGAACTCTTTTTGACAATGTATTGAAATGTGATGATCCTGAATATGTTAAACAAGTGACAGAACAAACATTGGGCAAATAAAAAGATGTAAGTTGCTTTTTATATATGTCTTTAATCTTTTGTTGGTTTGTATTAAAATTTTCTAATTCTGTTTATGCTTATTTTTTTATGTTGAATATGTAACATTTGAAGAGCTAGAAAAGAAAAAAAGGAGGAGAAAGTATAAAAAAAATTTGTTCATTGTTTCTTAGGGTTAAATTCAAGATATGAAAGTAGAAGTCATCGGGTCCATTTCATTGATGGTGCTTTAGGCAAGTACTTATGTAACAAATTGATGCATTTCCATTAACTTTCACTTTCAAGATACATAATCCGATGAATAAATTAAAACATTTGTTTGTTTATCTCCATAACAGGAGATACAGTTAGGTATTTTATATATGTCCCATGCAAGGTGATTAAGCAATGTATGCAGGTGTAAGGAATAGGGAAATATTGGAGTTCATTTGTGATGAAATCTGATGTCAGTATGAGTATGTATGGTTGTTACTATTCTAGAATGTTTCAAGGCGACTGTTCAATATGGAAAGATCAAGAACCAAAGGGACTATATACATAAAACGGATTAGAATCATGAAGCATCTAAGACCCACTAAAACAGAGAGTCGAGTGTAGGGTGCTGTAAGTTACTTAATGAATAACGAGTATAATGATATGATTGTATTGGTCCGTTTGTATAGTGATATTATTTTTGTGAAACATAGAATGGAGTTAGAAGGATTTCATATATGTGGGTGTCATTTGTTGATAGAATTTGTAATTTACTCTTTTATTTAAATGCAAGCCTTTCAAATTGAATTTTTTTTATGTATATGTATTTTGTGTTTAAATCTTGGAGTTTATTAATATGCTTGCCAACAAAAGATTATCCACTAAGCTAAAATTGCTTACTTAAGATGTAAATGGAATTACCCAGACATGTTTAAATTTAGAGTTTCATAAAATAGATTATGTACAATCCATTACTTAAGATGTAAACCGAATGATATTTCCTTATAAGAATTTTCAGACATAGTTATGGTTTGAGTATTTTAAATGTATGGAATCACATAGTACATTCATGTTTTTTTTTTTTTTTTTGGCGAAATACATTATTGTTCGGGTACCATACGCCAAATGATCTTACTAGGTTTGTCCTTGTAGGTGGTTTTTTTTTAACCGAAAAGTTGAAAATGTTGACTTTCAGCTCTACATTAAATAATATTTTAGTTTTTGAGTCTTAAATTGATTGTGTTCTTTATTTTATGTTATATATGCAACACAGTTATAGATATTATTTCAAGAGATAGAAAGATAATTGGGTAAATTTGTCATGTACATAGCTAATATAGAAACGAATGAAAGAAATATGCTATAAAAATAAGATAAATCAATATATTTATATATTTATCAACCGTCCATCGGACGGGTATGACACTAGTTTTATCTTATGACGCGTCATAAAAAGTATAATATAAATATTCAATTTTAAACATTAAAAATATGTATGATTTTAGATTTTATAACCGGCAAGTATGAACATGACGGAATTTATACTATTAAAGGAATACTTATTTTGAAAGCGATAATATCATCTTGTGATTCAGCAAAGATTTTCCATCAGATCCGCGGAAAATTTTTCTCTTTTCCCATCAGATCTGCTCTCCAGGAACCCAAACTTTTGTGTCGGTGGGTTTCTTGGTTTCAGTAATAAACGCAAACACTTGGCATGCATTGCTCATAACCCTTCAATTCTTTAAATAGAAATTCAAGAACTCCGATTTGTTGCCGAAAAAATGGTGGTCAGTGGCCCTTTAACACCTGGCCAGGTAACTGGTTTTTGTTCTCGCGATTACATTCATTATTCTATCAGATCTTGTTCTCACTTCAGTATTTTTCATTTCAGTAGCTTAGGTAGATACATTTGCCTCAAGATTTGTTCACTTTTGAATTGAGGGAAATTAGTAGCTTTAAATGATTGTGAAATTGGGGTTTCCTTTGTAATTTGAAGTAGGAAAGTTTTCGTTCGTTCTACACTTCTACTGATTCCGTGTGTGCTTACATTTATTAAAGTATAACATCGTCAATTGAGTAATGATACGACTTCATTGTAGTATAAGAATTCGCTCGTTGCAAAGATCCATAACTTTTTGATGGATACAATATTAACTCAAGTTTTGATCATGGCTTGTCGATTGTTTGAAATTGATGCAATGTGGATTTAGGGTTTATATCGTTGATGATTTTAAACTTGGTAGTGCTAAAGAAGGTGCAGAGTATATTAACATTTTTATTGCTAATGTCATTTGCTTGAGTCAAGTGTCAAGTGAGAACCATGTTCTTTGACACTTTTACCAGTTCTTGAGAATGTCAGTTGCAAGTGTTAATATTAAATTGTTTTGCTTTGTTAGTTGACTTATTTGTGAGTAAACCATTTATCCACTGTGATCAATTGACAACTACTTCTATTATGAACAAGAATACTCATTTTGCATATTTCAGGTGTCATTTTTACTTGGAATCATCCCAATTTGTGTAGCTTGGTTATATTCAGAGTTCCTGGAGTACAAGAAAACTGCAGCATCCTTAAAAACGTGAGTTAAAACTTAAAAGTTATATGTATTTGAAGTTTTGAACATTGCATATAGTTTTCTTTATTTAATAACTAATTTTCAGTGGCAGGGATTCTGATATAAACTTGGTTGAGTTGGATAATAACACTGTAAAAGAAGATGATAGAGCTGTTTTACTGGAAGGAGGAGGTCTCCAGTCGGCTTCTCCTAGAAGCCATAGTTCATCTATTACATCTCCTGTTGTCAGGTTTCCATGTTCTCCATTTGTTATTTTTCTTATAAATATAACTTTATTATGGATTTGTATCATACTTATACAATTATCTTTACCAGGCTATTTACAATGGATGAGTCCTTCTTGCTTGAGAATCGTTTGACATTGAGAGCTATGTATGTGACTTCAATCTAAACTTCTAAAGTTTCAATTTTTTAAATTTATATCACAAAGTTAATGATTTTTTATGCTCTTCCTGTTCTGTTTCTACAGTTCAGAGTTTGGACTCATATTGTTCTACTTCTACTTATGTGATCGGACAAACTTCTTTGGTGATTCCACAAAGGTTTTATCTCCTATCTTAGGTCATGTTAATGTTACTTCATATCAAACTAATTTCTAGTTTTCTTGTTGTTGCAGAGTTACAATAGGGATCTTTTCTTGTTTCTATACTTCCTTCTTATCATAGTATCAGCAATTACATCATTCAAGATTCATCATGATAAGTCACCATTCTCTGGGAAAGCCATACTTTATCTCAACAGACATCAAACCGAAGAATGGAAAGGTTGGATGCAGGTATGAAAACTGAAAAGTCACCTCACCTTTCAAAAAATTTACTCATATCATATAATTTTTTGGTATCTAACTTTTAAATGTTTTAACCACAGGTATTGTTTCTAATGTACCATTACTTCGCAGCAACAGAATTCTACAATGCCATACGAATGTTCATTGCTGCATATGTCTGGATGACTGGATTTGGAAACTTCTCTTATTATTACATTCGCAAAGATTTTAGCCTTGCAAGATTTGCTCAGGTATTAATTTAATGACAAAATCAACTTTTTTATGACAATATGAAAGATTCTAATTTCTAAGAGCTTGATATTCTTTGACAGATGATGTGGCGACTCAACTTTCTAGTGATGTTTTGTTGTGTTGTTCTGAACAACAGCTATATGCTATACTACATATGTCCCATGCATACCCTTTTTACCCTTATGGTTTATGGTGCCCTTGGAATTTTTAACAAATATAATGACAATAACACTGTCATTGCTGCTAAATTTGGTGCTTGCTTTTTGACTGTTATTCTGATATGGGAAGTACCTGGAGTTTTTGAATTTTTATGGGCTCCTTTCACTTTTCTTGTTGGTATGCACCTTTTCTTTTACTTTTTTTTTTCATCTTTTTACATTGGGCAAATTTTTTTTTTGTTTTTTTAATATAGACATAAATATATATATATTTTTTATCAGGATACACGGATCCTGCAAAGCCAAACCTCCCTGTTATGCATGAATGGCATTTTCGATCAGGCCTTGATCGCTACATTTGGATTATTGGAATGATTTATGCGTATTATCACCCAACAGTAAGTTCCAATGTCTTTGGAACTTAGAATGACATGTTTTTAATTTTAGTACTCTGCTAAACTGTTACTATGGTTTGTTGGACTTAGGTTGAGAGGTGGATGGAGAAATTGGAAGAAGCAGAAATTAAACGTAGAATATCAATCAAGACATTGGTTATCATAATCTCCGTAACGGTATGTATTTTTTTTAATGTACAAAAATCTATTTTCCCACTCTGTGTGTGTGTGTGTGTGTTTTTTTTTTTTTTTCAATTCAAGATTCTGAAATTTGATATTTTTATAGATTGGGTATCTGTGGCTCGAGTATGTATACAAACTTCCTAAACTTACCTACAATAAGTACCATCCTTACACTTCGTGGATCCCCATTACGTATGTATAGTATACTCTTTGTATTCCGATATTTTAAATATTGTTTCTAACTTTTCTTTTTATATTATGATTTTTTTTTTCTTTTTTCTGATAGTGTGTATATAAGTCTACGAAACGTCACCCAATGTTTCCGTAGTTACACTCTGACCCTTTTCGCGTAAGTTCTGATTTTTAAACTCCCATAATTTTTTTTTGTCGATATAAAAATTTAATTTAATTATTTATATTTATTAGATGGCTGGGAAAAATCACTTTGGAGACCTACATCTCTCAGATTCACATATGGCTAAGGTATGTCAACTGGTAAATTAATTTAATATATATAAAAAATATATATATAATTTTTGTTATAAATTACTTTGGATGCAGATCCGGGGTGCCAGATGGCCAGCCTAAGTTGTTGCTGGCTTTGATTCCAGACTACCCGATGTTGAATTTTATGCTTACAACTTCCATCTACGTTGCGGTAAATAATTAAAAAATAAAAAATAAAAAATGTAAAAGAAATTTGAGTGAGTTATTTATTTATGGTGAAAATTTTCAGGTTTCATACAGGCTGTTTGAACTGACAAATACTTTGAAGATTGCATTTGTGCCAAGTAAAGATGATAAACGACTCACGTACAATGTCATCACAGGAATAGTCATATCAACTCTCGTCTACACTTTATCTTTCATACTCCTCAAGTTGCCTCAAGTCATGGTAAAAAAAATTAATTGTTATTTGAAATCGTTTATTTTCTTACTAAATATTGATTGTTTTTTATTGACAGGGGTGAAAGTTTTTGAGATGTATATGATGCGAGTGCACTTAGCTAGTGTGAAGATTTTGGTATTTTTAAGAGAGAGAAGGGGGGCCTACTATTGTATAGGTGAAATGGGATGAGTTGGATATCCAATTGGAGGTTGTATACTCAAGTTTCTTCAATGTTCATTATAATGGTAAGTGAGTAACAAATTTGATCTGTTAGTAAGTATCGCTTGTGTGTTGAGGTTCAAGTTTTAGTGCTAGAGGTACAAGTCGTTATAGCAGTCAACGGTTTTTATCCTTTATAT